AAGTAGATGCAGGCAGTCTGTGGGATATCTACCGAGCAACGGTGCCGAATGAACAGCAAATTAGGAACCAGCAGGTCCTGGCGAACCGAAGCCGATTCTGGCGCTGCCTGAATGACATCTGCCGGAATAGCCACCTAACAAGCCTGAGGAAGACAGAGAAAGGGAGAAAGAGCAAGGGCAAGAGTGAAAGTCAGTAAGCAGGTGAAAGTAGTTACAGGCAGTCTGTTGTTATATATCTTCCGAGCAAGGGTGCCGAATGAACGGCATTAGGAACCAGCAGGTGCTGCACTTGAGTTGAGTGCTCCGTGGAGCTAAGTTTCAGTGCTTGTGCAGTAGCCCTTTACGTGAAGTAACTTAGCCCTTGACTTGATGGAGCGGCGTGAATGCAAGGTCGGACAAATAGAATGTTTCAACATGGGTGAAACGCGAATGTTTAAAATCAGTGCAGGTACAGGTGGATGATCAGTCCACCCTTCCCTCGTCATACCGTAGCTTCATTGCGTACGGTAGGTATGACGAGCCCCCTGCTGGAAAATCACGGGTAAGATTAGACCTGAAAGTAATTAGAGCAGAGACCCTGGAAACGGGTGTTGATGCACTCAAGATATTGCACGCTGACTCGATGGCGGTTTGCCACACGCCAGCCTAAATACAAACCTAGGGGTCCAAGTAAGGTGAAAACCTCCAAAGCCCACAAACTCGAGAAACGGAAAGGCCGCGACAGGATGACGACCTTCGCTCGCATCTGCAATGGCTGGCAATCTTGTTGCAGTTGAAACGGGGCCCAGTGCGAAGTGAAAGCCATCACTGAAGCAGGTACGTCATCGGGTACGTCATCGGGCGTCCCTGATGATATCCCAGGAGCATATGAGGAGCTTCATTGGATGGAGCCTCGTCATACGTCCTCTCCATCCCCTGCTATAAAGATGAAGAAAAGGAAGCAGTGTTGCACAAAGATACATCTTCGAAGGAACCCCTGGCACTCGAAGGACTAACGCCTCCCGATTAGGGAGGCAAAATTAGTCTAATGTATATGTGTGCGCGCAGCATGGGCAAAAAGATGAAGACGTGAGAAGGAGGACGGGACGGGGCAAAAGTGTATGTGGTTGCGATAGAAGGGGAAACCAAACGCACAGGGACAAACGGTGAACCGTACCTCATTGTCAGAACCTGGGCGACCTGAAACCTGGGTTGAAGGTGGATGTGCGCGTACAAGCTAAGAGCCGGACCAACGTCCACGCAAGAGAAAGAAAGGAGTGAAACTACAGGACATGAAGCAGGGAAGAAAAACATGAAACGAAAGAAGGAAAGAAAGTGTAAGTGAAGGTGGAAGGATGAAAAGGGGAACTTCAATGGAGGGGCCGGAAACCAACGACAACAAACGTCATTAAAACCTAGGATTAAACTGTGCGTGCAGAAGATGTAAATTACTTGGGCATATAATTAGAAGCAGTAATGATGACCCCATGAGACAAGTATCATTCGTTGATAGCACTGCATCCAGAGTTGATTACGGCGCCAAACGAGTTGGGAAACCGAGGCAAAACTGGCTGCATATCACAAAGAAATTTGCATACGAAAACGTTTTGAGACATCATAATTTCGATGAAAACACCGATGATGCAAGAATATATGCAGCCGCATTGAACAGAGATTTTTAATTGCCGTTCTTTGGCTGTGCCAACGCCTTGCAATAAGCCCGTCCGGACCAGGTCGGCGCGAGGTATGGCTGGAAAAAAAGAACTGTGCGTGCTGTGTGTGCACCTAAGGTGGCGACAGACCCCACTGGGTCTTGAACAAGCTTTGGACCACGTGGTGCCTTGCCAAAGTGGCTGGCGTGCCCGTAGGCTGCCTACTCAGACGTTACTTAGATTCAATAACTCATCACTTGGCAAATAAGTTTGGCATAGGCCTCCTACGCTCGCTGCGAGCTGTTTTGTTTCCGGGCAATGTAAACGTTGGACAAACCCCCAGTTGGACGGGGCCACAGGGGGGACTCCTTGGGTACACCCTGGGCTGGCATGAAGCCAGACACACTCAAGATATTGCGTACTGACTCGATTGCGGCTTGCCAGACGCCAGCCTAAGTAAAACCTAGGGGTCCAAACAAGGTGAACACCTCCAAAGCCCACGAACTCGATCGAGAAACCGAACGGCCGCGACAGGATGACGACGTTCGCTCGCATCCGCAGAATGGTGAGCCGCTGCAATGGCTGGCAATCTTGTTGCAGTTGAAGCGGGGCCCAGTGCGAAGTGAAAGTCATCACTGCAGCAGGTACGTCACCAGGTGCCCCTGATGATATCCTAGGAGCGTATGAGCGTATGAGGAGCTTCATTGGATGGAGCCTCGTCATACGTCCTCTCCACCCCCTGCTATAAAGATGAAACACAGTGTCGAAAACAAACGGTGTTGCACAAAGATACATCTTCGAAGGAGCCCCTGTGACTCCAAGGGTTTCACACTCTGACACTTGTATTCAGTGAACTCAGTTACCACGTTGGGAAGAAAGGCGGTGGAACAGCATGGCGGAAAGTCCGAGACAATTGTAGGTGTTTGAACAAAAGCTGTTTCCCTTGACTGCGGTGACGAAGCGGCGCAACTCAGCTGCAAAAGTGGCTGTGGGAGACCTGTTGGTGGGGAAAGTATCATGGAAACCACCATGAATCAAATCGAGAGTGGAAAAGCTTGGTCAACAGTTGAAGGTGCAGGTACACAGGGATGATCAGTCCCTGCTTCCCCTTCTTGTCCACAGCTTCATTGCGTGTGGTAGGACAAGAAGGCCACACGCCCCTGCCTGTAAGGAGTGGTGGAAAACCCTTTGTCCAGGGGTGGACACACACAGGTCGCCGCATCCGGCGCTTTTTTCCAAAAACCGGTGGCAAGCGTGGTGGTTGTGTCCTTAGTTGTCGCTGAAAGGGGAGGTAGTGTGGTTCGTAAATCATCGCTAGGCATCATCTCGCAGAGGCGGCGAGCAGTTATGGAAAGACAGTTCGGTCAAAAGGCTGCGGGAAACATGGTGACATGCTATGCTAGAGTGAGCCTGAGGGACCGAAGGTTCCAAAAAGAGTGGCGAAAGCAGAAGGACCTGAAAACAACTTGTCACTGCATGTCAAAGGATTTGTCCTGCGGCACGCCGGAGAGAAAGCGGGGTGACATAGTGTTGTTGAAAATCTCATCGCTCGTGTTGACGGGGAGTGTGTTGTAAGGTGGTGCTGGATGTGAGCTTGTTGTCAAGTGTGATCATGCATCTCGAATTAGATTGGAGAACTCCAATGCACAAGCTTGAGTTCTGCTGATGAAAAGGTCACGGCATTAATATAAGATTGCAACATGTGGAAAAAACAAGCATGAAAGATCCGAAATCTGATGTATTCGAAAGTAACCGTTTTTGGGCCCGGCGGCCAGTGTATCGGTTGATTCAGTGAGGGTGTCGGTGACTGCCTGTGAGGGTCCAATGAGTGGTGGTGCTTTGGGGCGGTTGCTTTCCCATGTAAAAACGGCGCCCCTGTGACGGGGATCACACTCAGCACCCGAGTGGGACGGCTGAGCGAAACACACTCTGACACTTGTATTCAGTGAACTCAGTTACCACGTTGGGAAGAAAGGCGGTGGAACAGCATGGCGGAAAGTCCGAGACAATTGTAGGTGTTTGAACAAAAGCTGTTTCCCTTGACTGCGGTGACGAAGCGGCGCAACTCAGCTGCAAAAGTGGCTGTGGGAGACCTGTTGGTGGGGAAAGTATCATGGAAACCACCATGAATCAAATCGAGAGTGGAAAAGCTTGGTCAACAGTTGAAGGTGCAGGTACACAGGGATGATCAGTCCCTGCTTCCCCTTCTTGTCCACAGCTTCATTGCGTGTGGTAGGACAAGAAGGCCACACGCCCCTGCCTGTAAGGAGTGGTGGAAAACCCTTTGTCCAGGGGTGGACACACACACACACGCCCGTCTAAGCAAAAAATCTAAGGGGTCGGCAAGGCCGCAAAGATTTCGAGAAACAGAAGGAAGAAAACAGGTTCAAGCCGGACGAGGAGAGAGAGAGAAGAGATAAGCAAGGTTGAAGACAAAAGTGAGAGACCGGGCCACCTAACACTACTTGAGAAGCAGACAGAAGCAGACTGGCCTAAAAGGTTCAAAGACATCAAGGCTGGAAACCCGGCCAACCGAACTGGTGTGCCGGGATGCAGACCCGGACCCGAGGTGCGCCTGCAAAGACTACCTCCAGGAAGTAGGCAGAAGAAGGTAAACAATGGTCCACAAAAAATGGAAACTTCAGGACAGCGACTGACAAGAGGAGAGGGGACGCGACCCTTCTCAAATGGTCATTTTTGCCACCAGATGGGGGCACTCTGCGGGCTCACCCTGGGCTCTCCCAAGGGTGAAGTGCATACAAATGCTTGAGGAAACTCGGAATAAAAAGGAAAACCTGAAAATTTAGATAACAATGCAGCGTTGTGCAGCGTTGAGCTTCGGAAAGAAACCAAATCAATCCACATCGCAATCATAGCCAAACTTCAGCCAGGCATCCTAAGTCGATATCACAGACCAACGCAAGATAACGCACGTGCCTTTCTTAATGCCAGGCTTGCTTGCATGGTCCTCGGTGCCCTGCAAATCCTACTGCAGCGTCAAGCAAATAAGAAACCAATGAGTCCAGGGCATATATACACACACAGGGCCTTTCTCTCTCCAGCTTGCCATTTGTGATGTTGTTGTTGTTGTTGTTGTTGTTGTTGTCGCCGTCGCCATCCTTGTGTGTGTTTTCTCGCCATCCTTGTCCTTGTCGTGTTGCTGCTTTGCTGCTGGTGCTGTTTTTGCTGTCAACATTGTTGACATCATGACTGCGTGCCATGTGCACGTACTCGTTTCATGTTCAGCCTTTTGTTCCATGGGCCTTGCCCCCTCATTGCTCAACCCTGTCATGTACGAAGTGGACGAGTTGGTGCAGCTTTGGCAGGACTTGTTAGTTTTGTATATGTTTGATTATGTTTGTGTCACATAAGTCACATAAGGCTCAAAATGCAGTAGGAGATCACGGTGGGGCGCAAGAACCGCAATGCACGCCGGTGTGCAACCAGGCAAACAAAGCCGAAATGTTGGATCTTTGACCTGCTTTAAGCAGGTCATATTTCCTATGGAACCTGTGCCGATGCAGTCGACCGTGCAAGCAGACTTTATTCACCATGCACATTTTCAAGCACCTCTTCCTTTGTCAAAGGACACCTCGTCAATCTTGACTAAGGACCAACTGGAAGGGAAGTTCCAGGGGTTGACTTCTTACTCCGAGGACTATACCAAAAAGTCTGCACGTGGCTGCCCAAGGCCACTGGTTGCCAGCAATCCTGTTTATTCGCGGCACTTTCTACAGCACGCTGGTTGCGACAAGCTTGCCACTACGTACGGTGATCACTTCGCTCCACGAGAGGGCAAAGGCCCAAAGGGACAACCAGACGCGCCACAGGGTCACCCTGTGGGTGATCAGAGTGATTACCTCGATAGCCACTCCTCTTCTTTGACTTCTTTCATGAGGACTCGGCGGTTTGAGGGACAAACCAGCTACGCGCGGGAATTCAACAAACCCGACATTTCAGTGCCAGAAGAAGGAAAGAAGACAGGTGATGAGAACCAGTCCAACTTGACAGATGCAGCACGAGCATGCATTTTTGATAGCCAGAGTATTTATCAAGAGTCTTTCCTGAAACACAGGAAGCCTGTAAGGCAAGAAACTCTGAGGCCAACTGGGGCGCTTCACGGAGGAATGGCCTTTAGTGGAATCTCTGAGTACACATCGGTTTATGCTAATTGGCCCCGCCTCAAAAAATGGAGGCTTTCCTAGGTTCGAGGATGCTTGAATGCTGGACAAGCATCACTAGAAAGAACACCATGTCCGTACATGCTTGCCCGGGCTTACTCTTGTATCACACATGTTTCACTTTTGGACAAACTTTAGCAGATTCCCCGCCAAAACCTGCGGCAGATCTGCCATTCAAAAATGAAGCCAGTGTCGCAGGGCTTGAGATGGCTTGAGACTTCAGACCTTGGCATCCATCGGCTGGAGAATTGCCAGAGAGCTTGACAAGGTGGTTTTGTGCTACGCAGTGAGCATGGTTCCGGATGTGGCTCAAGGAGGGCCCTGTCCTAGCCGAGACGAGGGGTGCGGCGCACAGTCCATACTCAAAGGCTTGTTGGGGAGCGGAAAGGATCAAGGCACCGGTACAGAGGGTTGAGGCTCGAGGACTCTGATTACCACCTCCTGATGATCACGTCACATGCTTGATAGGACTTGCACCGGAGTATGTATAGATTCGTCAGGTTGTTGTTTTGCTAAGGCATGAGCTGGTGTTCGCCGTTTGGGAGAAGAACTTCCTCTTGGATAATTATTCAAGCTAAACATGGCTTGCTAACGCTGCTAACGAACCACAGGTTTTGCCAATCAAACCTTTTGTTCAGGCAACCCTGTTGAAGAAGACCAGACCCAGCCAAGAGAGGGCGTGCTTGGCATAGCCACAGAAACCGGACAGATTGCAACAGGTTTTAGATTCAAGACGTAACTTGCATTTTGTATACATTTGATTGCAAGATGTGCAAGCGTGAAATTCAGGGTTTGGACGCGAGGTTGCCCTCACAGACGAGTTCAAGCCAGCATAACTGGTGTTGTTGCTGCACTGCTTTTGCCGTGGTTCTTCCACGTTCTTTATGTTCTTCATAATTGCCGCGGCTAGTCTAGTCTAGTCTTGTTCTTCGTGCAGCTGCATGACGACAAACCTGAAACCTGCCTTTGCACATCGCTTGAGCACAGCTGGAAGCTGTTTCCAGGTGCATGTTCTTGGTGCAGACCCGAGGCTGGTTGAGGCATTTGTGCAACTGAATCCGATGATTATATAATTCCTTGGGCCATAGGGGACTTGCTTGACAAGTCTTGCGCTGGCCGCTGTTCCTTTACGGGTTCCGATTCCAACCAATGAATCAGCGCTAGCCAATCCATTGGTCGATGTGAGCTCGCAGACACTTCATCTTCCATTGTTCGTGCCCGATGAATTTCAGAATCAACTGAAGAATTCTGTGGATGTAGAAGCGCTTGAAGACAGTGCGGACCGCTGAATACCTGCAGCCCTGGCTCAAACTCCAGAGCACGGTGGGGCGCTGGGGGGACGCATGGGCCAGGTGACCAGCCGGTGCATGGAGAGACTGCCAGACACGTGCGCGCACGATTCTCATCCGACTTCTTTATTGAAGACCTCAGACGGAGAAGAGATCCGAGTTGAACGAGCAAAAAGTAATGTTGTAGTAAGCGGGCGAGAAGAGTTTGCCAGATTATCAATGGATCGGGTTAGATCAACTCCTGGATTGCACTTAGCAAGCGGGGAGGCATCTTCAAGCCCAGGTCCATACAGGTTGAGCTCGGCATCCTCTTCAAGTCCAAGCTGCCCAAAGCTTATAGACAGCTTGTGCAGAATTGAGGTCAGTGCCGATCGAGTTGTCTTCAACTTAGATCTGCACGACAAGCTGGCTCGAAGGCAGCATCTTCGAAACTACTTCCAGCTATGTGCTGAACACCGAAGACTACAGGTGACAACTTCTTGCTTTGCGGCATGGCGGAAGAGCAAGAAAATCAATGGTTTTGCAAAGGTGATCCCAGTTGCACAAGAGGAGACTGATGGATTTGCATCCGATGGACCTATCCGTGTCTTCTTTTTTGATGACAACTTGGAGTGGGGCGGTTGTGAGGACAGCCCTGGCATCTGCAACTTGAGGGACTTGGCCACGGGGAAGTTTGTGAACTTCACTGAAGGTCAGAATGGATTTGTGCAAGAGCGATTCGCACGACACACAGTAGTGCAGCACAGCCAAATGTGGCGTGTAGTTCTTGTGAAGGCAAACATTTTGGATGCCATTGAAGACAAGGAGTACTTTGCCAGACTAATTTCTCAGTTTTCTGAGCCAAGGGACAGATTGGTCGTTTTTATGGACGTGAATGCAACAATCGTCTGCAATGACACTGTCCAGGGGAAGGGTTTGGCAGTGACTCTACTTGGCACCATGTTCGAGTTGCTGGAGTTCAAGCCGGAGCAGCCCTTTGATCTCCAGTACGGTACTTTGAACCAGATCCGAGTGGAAAAGGTCAAGACCTTAAAGGGGCTGATCAAAGACATGACAGCTGATGACCATGAAGGATACACTCGATTCTGGGAGGAGAAGACATGCTGGGATTTCCTGGCACATGTCCTCCAAAGTGGAGAAGTTCGGTGGGTCACAGGTACAGAGAAAATGACGGTGGAGTCAGTTCGAAATCTCTTCATGTCATATCTTGAAGCTGTACCAGGGGCTCTCAACGAAGATGGTATCACAAGAAGCTGGTTCCATGTCTATTCAACGAAATTGCACGACCAGCACTCCACAGTCCTAAACTCCTTCGGCGTTGATACAAGGAAAGTCACCTTGGCAACCATCTCTGAGGAGAAGGACGTTCTCCATATAGCCATCAATCATGAGATGTGGGATGAGAGGGATGTTAGGAAGTATGCGGATCAGTTTCAGTAGCCGTGGGGTGCCTGCGCGAAGCTGGGGGGGCCGTGAGTCATTTTAGTATGTTGTAAGCTGTTGCTGCAGGCATTAATTATGGCAATCGATTAACTTCTGCACCGTGTCACACACTGTGTCCAGTGTGATTGATTTTCATACTGCACTTTATTAGGCAGCCAATCATGTTCGTGTTGAATCACCTTTGGCTTTGCCATTGGCTCACCACTTAGCTGCTGAGCTGAAACTGCAGGCTGCATTCAAGGTCAATGTACTTTTGGCCTCCACAATTCCAAGATTTCTATGCATACCTCAGGACCTTTAGGACCTTGAGGCGGCTTGACCAGGCTTGACCTTAGGACCACTTTATATATATATATATATAGCCAGCCTCTAAATCTTAGCTCTCGTGTTTGTTTGTGTTCGTCATGCAGGAAGCGGCCTACGCAGTCAGAAAATAGTGCTGCTGTGCTCGTGTCAAAACCCACCCTTCTTCACGCATGACTACATAATTTGACCAAAGAACCTGCGGATCATGTGGAAGAAAGAAGAGCACCATGCAGCACCAAACAATGCCCAATCGTTTCACCGCACAGATGCCACAAATGTGGATGCTAATCTCAGCTGGACAACTCAGCCTCCAGGGCGTGAGTGAAATCCAGCACAACCCCCGTCTCCTTTGAATGCACGTGAACTGATCTCTGAATGCATTCATGAGAATATGAAAAAAGCCGATTTGCCTGCCTTCCTTAAAGCCACACGATGTTCACATCGTGCACCACAAGTGCACCATGCACTCCATCACACCCAGCTTGATTCCAGCCGGTCTCTCCCCACAACTCTGGACAGGTTGCAGTTTGCAAAGGGCCAAATGGCCGGGCATGATGGGCATGTGACGCAGGGAAAAGATGTACTTCTCCATGTCGAAGCAAGGTAATATATCTTAGTCGTGTGCATGCAACCTTGATTGAGTTGCACTGTGGGTGCTCGTGATGCAATTGCGATTTATTGGTGGACATGTAATGTTTTGGCATTTCCAGGAGAAGGAGAATCTTGAGAAGAACCCATCCTTGATAATATGTTGTCAGTGCATTTCCCTTTGTTCGCATTGTTTGCACCTATTTGACAACTAAATAGTGTCAGGCTGCAACAATTGAGTTCACCTGGCAATGACCTTACAAACTGAGGGAGGGCGCATGCGGAGCATGTACTTTTTTCCGTTGCCCCTTCTGGCAGCCATGGTGGTTCTGCAGCATTCATGAACCATTTCTGCTGGATTTGGTCAAACTTGCTGCCGGCCTCCGCTGGAAACTTGGCACAGTTCGGGAGACGGGGGTGCTTTTTAGCTCCATGGGCAAGAAGGCAAAGGACAAAGATGCACAGGTGACAAATGCGAAAGAAGTGGGTAGCCCAAGAGCAAAAAGGAAGACCCAAACTCCAAGTCAACAAAAGTCGAAGCAGGCGCGCAGTGAGGGGGCTGGCCAGAACCAGACAAGCGACAGAGGAGAAAGAGCGCCAACAAGACAAAAGAAAGACGCAGATGCTATGTTTTGGGAATCAGTGACTGAAGAGGTTTCCGCTGCGATTGACGTGCTCCAAGAGAATGGCGATTTGGAGTTGCCTGACACGTCACTAAGCCAGCGAATTGCCAGCAAAACGACCCAGATCATGAAACTGACTGGTGCCTCGCAATTGTTGCTGAAAGAAAAACAGATTTTAGTTCGCGGTGGAGTTCTTAAGAAACGAGCTGTTGCAAAGTATGTCAACATCATCCTCAATGAAATGGTTCCTTCTGGGTATGCTGATAGTGACATGCTACGCATTTTTGTTTCTCGGAGCTTTGCTGACAGCTTGGAGCAGAAGAGCAGCTTGGCAGACATTGAGCTCAGTGAGAGCGTTCTCATAGTTGTTGAGAAGGACCAGCGCCAGGATCATCCACCTCCAACAGTTGGTGACTTGGTAGAAGTTGAGGTGCAGCCAGGAGTTTGGAGGATGGCAGCCATTATTAGCTCTGACCGGTCCACCAGAGTCCAATATTGTCATCACCACCAGCAAGAGAAAGTTGCACTGACCGGCATCCGTAGAGCTAGGGCAATCGCAATATTTGGACACTACCAACGCAGACTGGCAGCCGCCCTGAAGATTGTAGCAGCGTTTGAGACTGAGTCGCTTGGTGCTTGGAATTCGTTGCACAGCAATCCATACTTTCAAGGGCAGCGCTTGGGTGTGGTCTCAGAAGAACTTGCAGTGAAGTCTGAAGTTATCAAGCGACTGGAGAGAAGCCCTTTCTTAAAGCAGATTTTGAAGACCACAGGGTGCACCATTCGCTTTTTCTTGAAGCCTGTGGCAGACAAGTCCTCATTTTCAAAGTGCACGAAAGCTATTCCCTGTGTTTTGGCAGCTGGAAGCTTGGAAGAGCGCTGGAAAGGCTTGCAAATCATAAAGGTAATTGCACTGGGAATGGAACACAAGAGGCACCCAACGTTGCCTGCTGCCTTGCTTGGAGACGCCCGCAGGGTAACAATTCCAAAGGACATGATGTCTGTGGTCGTTGGAAAGCAAATGGAGTCTCTGCTGGAATTGATGGAATTGACGAGCACCGTCATTCTCCCCCTCAAAGACAGGGAAAGTCAAAAAGCAGATAAAGAGATGGACAAGCTCCTCGACATGATGATGGTAGGCTATGACGACATTGGTGATCAAACTTGTGAGATTGCGATCCTTGGCGAACCCTATGCACGAGCTTGGGCAGAAGCCAAGATTAGGGCCCTTGTGGAGAAACATCACCCCGGCTATTCTGAGAAGGAGACGGTCATTTGTTCTCTCACTTGTGCTTCTCTTCATTGTGTGTGTGTGTTTTCAGTGCCAATTAGCTGACGCCAGGACATGGGTTCTTCACAGGCCCCCGAAAGTCAGTCCTTCAAAGTACTTGCCATTGTTAGGCGAGTATTAGGCATCTTTCGCACTTTTCAAGCGAAGGCGGCCGGGCTTGGCGTTGAAGGAATCCCCTTGGCAGCCGAGCTCGAACAGATTGACACTTGACCTTTCCAGACTTTTTGAGCATGGCAGGTTCCGGTTTCGTTTATATTCGGCATTCAGGACTTGCAAGTCCGGTTTCGTTTTGGTGACTGAGGAAGAACGCGTGCAGCTTGCCAAACAGCTCCTAAGCTGCGCTAAGCTGGCCGAGCGCCACTCGTGTCACTGGCAGATGGTTTGACATGCTTTACCCTGCCGTCAGGCTTGCTGGAGCAACCGGGTGCGTAGTAGAAGTGGGTGCTGGGCGGGCCTTCATTGCTGGAAGAAAAGGCTCAAGGGCACTGTGCTCGGAGTACATTTCCTGGGCCTTTTGCTGGCACCTAATGCTTTGAGCGTGCTTTTTTGCGCCAATTCACCGTCATTTGGCGATCACTTCCCGAGGTTAACGACGGATTGCAATTTCATGTTGATCTCAAGCGGCGAGCTGACACAGCAATCCGGCCGGAGGCGAATGGATGAGTCCCAAAGACAATGAGCGACATTCGCCAGGTGTCACAACTGAAAAATGATGCAGCGACATTCGCCAGGTCCCGCTTGCTCTGACAGAAATGCCTTGGCTGCAGCAGCAGCTGTCAGAGCTGGCCATTGACACCAGCACTATCGTCCGAACACCAAGAGTTCAGTGCCAGGCCAAATGGGTCAGGCCAGGCTATGTCCGCCATGTGATCTTAGTAGGAGTGGCCTGGGTGCTCAACTTGCTTGATCTTGCTTGCAACTTGTGCTGATTACTGTGCTTGCTGAGGCCTTCTTCGACAACGAGGAAGGTCGCGAGGGCCAGTTGAAGCGGTTGATCTTTGCCGGAAATGACATCGAATCAAACCCAGGCGGGAGTTCCAAATTTCCCCCGCCGGCAGTTCTCCTTTCTTACAGGTCACTCATCCCCACCATCATTGCCTCTTGCTCGTTTCCTAGTTCCTTACCCACCATCCCAGAATGATGGGAAGCGCACCCTGAAAGAGTATGTTTGCCTTTTATTTTTTCCCCCAAGGTGGCCGAAAGCTATCGGAGTTCTTGCTTCTCAATGACTGGGGCTGATCAGCGTTTTGGTCCACTCCTGCCACTGCTTCCTTATCTCCCCACTTGTTTCCTTACATGTCTCCCCACTTGTTTGCCTGTGATCGGCATTTTCTCTACCGCTGCTGCCTTGTCTCCTTAACTTTTTTCATTTTTTTTCCACATTTTTACGAGTTAGTTGCTATTTGGGGCTGCTTATGCCGGTGCAATTCCTTCCCCACGCCTGCGCCTCAGAACTGCAGTCTTGGGTCAACTGCACAAGACTACGTGACTATATACTCTCCTGACTCATTCCTTTACCTAACCGCCTAACCCTTCAACTTTTGCAAGGCATATCCAAGCCGTATCCAAGTGGACATTGGGCGAACTTGCTTGAATTGAAAGACAAACGTTATTGCTTCTACTTGGTGCACAATCGCCGAGACTCTGAAAGCATACTCCATGACTTCACGTAAGCATACAAGAGGTAGTGCATGGTTCAAAGAAGAGCCTACCACAGCTACTAAACTATACTAAACCATACTAAGCCCTAATCTAAACTAGATCATTTCCTGACTTCGTTATGCAAAACACCCACACGCTTGAACGTTGAAGGCCTCATTCGATCAACCCTTTGTGCTATGACAGTCATAGCAATTTACACCTTGTCCATGCTTTGTCAAATTCCACGAGAAAAGTGGAGACCTAAGTCAGTGGTCACAGAGACAGCCGAATCAAAATCGGAGAGTGCATGGTAACACCATAATCCCAATTGAACATTGGCTCAGTACATTGAAACATGTCGCGATCTATTGTGTTGTTCGATGTTGTTCGCATTTACTGTTGTCGTTGCGCTGGATTCAAGGCCAAGGCCATTCCATGGCTTGGCTGGTTACTGCAAAAGTCAAATTCGCTCATCTACTGTACATCATGCTCCTCTCACTACGCGAGCCAGCCGAATTGCATTGCACAGTCGCAAAGTTTGGAAGAACGGTATGTCTTTGGAGTTGTCCCAGGTACAGCCGGACAGGTCGAGCATGGGATCATTGCATATTTGTGTGCATAGACAGGCATAGACCTTCGTGTTTTGTGGCCCATGGCAACTTCAACTTCTCGAACGAATCATTCTTAGTCAGTTCATGTCACTTCCTAACCTGGGGTTCTTTGGGGCTGTCGCTGTGCCTGGAAATCTGAATGATTCGAGGCGTTGTGCCTGGCTTGCTTGCGCATGCCAACGCCTTGCTCGACAAAGCCAAGCGCTACAAGGACTGCGCACTTCCAGCATGTGAACTTCCGTGCTCCTCCTATTCCTGCGCGACAGGATCAGGGCTGGCTGCTGGAGGACGACGAAAGAGAGAATGGAGGAAGCACAGAGGTGCGACAGATCTCGCTTGCAACTGTGCATTTTCAGCCGCTGCAATGGCTTGGCGGTCCAAGGGGACAGGCAGAGAAGATTGGAAAAGTGGCTCTCGTGAAGACCTCGCACAGGAGTGGCCCTCGAAGGAGGTGCTGTGTTGAAGTTTGTGTCGCTGGCCAGGTGCTTTTGCATTTCATTGGCTCTCATGCTGTATACCAGGCTGCAGTGGATGCAACTGAGGCGACTGACAAGGCGCAGAGCTTGATTGTGCTCGAGACTCGAGACTGGGATTTCTGCATGTGGTGACAGGACAGGACAAGAACTAAAGGGAAAGGATCTGGCAAAGGGAAGCGGAAAGGCCTGGTTTACGCGTGGCAGTGTAAGCGTTTAAGTGTCTTCCATGTAGAAACGGCTGCAGGCAAGATCGCCTTTCTCACTACTGTGGATGATGAGATGCTTTTCAGAAATCATGGGGCTGCAGCTGAACCACTGCCATCGGAGGTGCCCAGCTTGCAAAA